GACTGGGTGACCTTGAGCTAGACATTCTCCTGTAGTCTAATATTTTGCCTCTTGGCCCTTTGCAGTTTGGCTGCAGACAGACTGGACTAGGAGGCCAAGACAGTTCTGGTTCACAATGGGTACAGGAAGCGCCTCTTGACTTGACGGTGACATTTGATGTGACTGACAGTTCTGTCCTGTTATAACACCTTGTCGTTGAAAACAACAGTACTGTGTGGCCTGTGTGCTGCTAGGAGTCATCAGCTGTATTATAGCAATGTCAGTTCAACTGCATAGGTTACCCATTTGTTTCTGGGTCCATGTGTAAGAAGCTGCTGTATCCTGAATCTGTACATCAAGGTCAGTTTTGTCCATTTGGACTGACAGCAGGTCTCCAAGGTCTCAGGCAGAGATGTCTCACGTCACCTACTGCCTGAACCAGGGATGAGGGTTTACCATCCATGCGGGAGCAAGCTCCTTAACTCTGGATTGGGTAAGACACTTCCAGTCAATTAGGATAGGAAGGATTAAAAAGGGTGGAAACATCCAGTTACTGTTGGCCAAATGCTAGGAACTGGATTCCCCTACATGGAACAGATTGGCGGGGGGGGCAAGATTTGTATTTGCTCTGTGTACATCCAAGGCAAGATGCAAAGGCAACTACTGTACTGTTAAGTTTAGCTTAGTGATAGGATTTTCCTGTTTCTTTCCTTAGATCTATGTAGCTAAGCAGACACAACAGTCATTTTCCCTTATCTTGTGCTCTAGTTTAATCACTTGCAACAAATAAAGCTTTCCTGTTTAAGAGAACAGACTGTGTTTCAAACTCCTCCCTGCAGGGCCTTCGCTCATGCTAACACGCATGCACAGGGGAAGGGGCTGAAGTCATTGGGAAACTCTGCCCCTATATACATGCTCAGAGGCAGTCTATACCAGTGTTCCTCAAACCACTGGTAATGTGGGAAGCTGGATTTAGTTTGAGGTGGTGTGCACACATGCAAACCCAGGGTGGGTTTGTGACACACTTCTTCCTCCCCATCCCATGTCAGTCTTGCAATCAATGCTGCAAGGCAGATTATGCTGAGAAACAGCTGTTGGCCCAAAGTCACTGGGAAGCTGTACACCAGTGTGTGGATTTCAGCCTGGGTATTGCCAGTCCTACTCTGCCACATTAACCTTTACTTACCATGATACAGTGGGGGGGATGAAAAGGTCAAGAGAGCCAACTGCTTTTGAGTCCGAAGTTCTCCCACCTAATTTATGGCTTGCGACCTGAAGGTATACTAGCTACTAAGAACGCTAACCTCAGTAGTTTTCTGCCAGTCTTGGCATCAGTGATGACAGTTCTCTTCAGTAACTAATTCTGGGAAGTGAAACAGGATCGCTTCTATAAACATCTAGTATCCAATGAGCCTTGCATAATGGTTCTGGAAGAACAAGGAACTAGGAGTGCCCTGTAGCTTTGAGCTGCGAGTTGCATTATGAGCGGCCACAGCCTTGGGTTTATATCGCCTCAGCATTCTGTCTGCATATAGCTTTATAAATGTGACTAGATCCAAAGAAGGCAATCAAACAATGCTAGCGTGTTGTAGCCTCTGAAGGTCAGTTTTGTCCATTTGGACTGACAGCAGGTCTCCAAGGTCTCAGGCAGAGATGTCTCACGTCACCTACAAGGCAATCAAACAATGCTAGCGTGTTGTAGCCTCTGCTTGTCTTAACTATTTAAAAAATTCATGTTGTGTTCGTTCCCTTCTGCTATTTGAAAAAAGTCCTCATTTTCAAAGATTCACTTTTATTAGGAGACACCAATATGTATTTTATCTATTCACTGCTTTTAAGTTTCCAGCTCTGATTCTTCATAAGCATATCTGTGGCTTCCTTGCTGGCAAGATGCAAAGGCAACTACTGTACTGTTAAGTTTAGCTTAGTGATAGGATTTTCCTGTTTCTTTCCTTAGATCTATGTAGCTAAGCAGACACAACAGTCATTTTCCCTTATCTTGTGCTCTAGTTTAATCACTTGCAACAAATAAAGCTTTCTGTTTAAGAGAACAGACTGTGTTTCAAACTCCTCCCTGCACACCAGGGCCTTCACTCATGCTAACACGCATGCACAGGGGAAGGGCTGAAGTAATTGGAAAATTCTGCCCTATGTACATGCTCAGAGGCAGTCTATATTAGTGTTCCCCAAACCACTGGTAATGTGAACAAGCTTATACATTCAGTATAATCTCTATATCTCATATATACAGGCTAGTCTCTTTGTTTTCACACTGAATAGAATCAATTCTCTTAGTCACACAGATTAAACTGTCGGTTTTATTCACACAGATTTAAACTCAAAATTCCATAATCACACAGACTATGCCCACTCTTCAAACTTTACACACAGAATCCTTCATAACTCTGAGTCACACAGACTCTCTTCGAAACTCTTCCATACTTGTCCCACTCATATCACAGAATCCTCAGAACATCTCCTCCCACATTCTGTCATCAGCCAATCAAAATACACTCTCATCTCCCTCTGTCACTCTTCTTTCAGCACTGCAGTGAAACTAAACATTTAAAGGAACACACAAACCAAAACATGGAATCATTACAATATCCTTGACATTTTTACATCAGAAAAGGCAGGAAAGAAGGTTTTGTAAAGTGCTCTACTAACCAAAGCACCAAGGAGGAAAAGAATCTGCATCTATATGAAGACCAGTGCTCCAGTGGTGGAAGACGCTGCCATGCATCTGTCCCACGGTTCCATCCAGCCCAGCGTGGGCTGCAGCATGGAGGGGGGAAAGGAGGGACAGCACCCCTGTGGCTTTCAGTTGATGTGGGTTCCATGAACGAAGCTGAGAAACGACTGTCCCAACTTTGGAAAAAATGCTGGGGAAAACGAAAGGAACGCAGCAAAGATTTCCCATTTTTGTGCTTACAGCTTGTAATTTCCTCCCTTGCCTTTAGTGGCTTGCAGCTGAACACCTGAAGTGCTCTTCTGATGCCTATACCTTTATAAGTCACATTGTGCAATGTTGAGAAATGAGCTTACAGGATAACTACTACTACTGGGAAAACCTAAAAAGAATTTGCCCCATAACAAGGAAGACATTTAGATGATCCTTGAGGATCCTACACAAACGCCTTAACATTAGCCATCAAAGCTTGTGTTCAGAAATGCTGAACAGAGCTAGATCGCTGCTATGTGATTCTGTATGATTACATTTTCATTATGAGCCTACTTTCCCTTCAAATTGTTGCTATGCTGCATTACACTCAAACGTATGTTAACTTTTATATACATACACATATATGGAAGTTAATTTAGGAAAATTCTGTTCATTTAGAAGTTTGGAAAGAGCTGGTTTAGTATCCACCACAGGGTGGCAGGATTAGCTGCTTTTATTTGGGGGAAAGAAAATGCCAACAGGTACATTTGATACAAAAATAAGCAGGTGAGTAACTTGCCAACCTAGCAGTTCAAAAGCAAGAAATTGCAAGTAGATAAATGGGTACCAATTCAGTGGGAAGGTAACAGCGTTCCATGCACCTTGGTGTTTAGTCATGCCGGCCACATGACCATGGAAACCTCTTCGGACAGCGCTGGCTCTTCGGCTAGAGTCGGATTCGACTGGCTTTCGATCACGGGAAACATTTATTTTTTTAACTTGTGTAGTCTTTAAGCTGTAGCTGAACCTGCCTATTATAACAAATAAAACATCAGAAGCTGGCATTAGCTGTTAAACAGCTTGTAAAAGTAGAGGCCAAAAGGCACACTAGTCTTAATATCACCACAGGGCTTATGAAATAGAGATCTCTACTATATGATTACATACCATAATTAGCTCTGGTTCCTATGGCTAAATGTATAATTTGAATGCCACTCATCACCAAAAGTTGTAATCTGATCTTACCTAATTGCTTCACCTGCCTCAGTTATGTCTAAATCACCATTTCAAACAAATCACCGCCTACAGAAGGGAGACTTTATGTCAAGGGTTGTGCTTTTCCCTGTAATGTAGGCATCGTTTTCTTGGCGAGCCCCTGCATTAAACTGACAACCATAATGACACAATCACTCACGCTTGACCTTACGTAATTCAGCATTAAGTGCTACATTTCCCTCAAGGCTAAAAAGATTTGGCTTTGAGACAGTGAGTTCCAAGCCCTGGTGCAAGATGGGGCAGTAACTTGGCTTCTATGTATTTTTTTCAAAGATACCTAAATTGGTCAACATATTATGATTACAACATACTACACTTTTTTAAAAAAAAGAATGTATCAAAGAAGCGTCTACAAGCACTGGTGGCCTAACAGGAAAACAAAAGCCAAGAGGACATATAAACATGCATGTATGGCCATATACGGATATCAGACAAGTTCATGCAGGCTGATTTGAATTCTTGTCTCTTTTCCTGCTCGGCAGCTGGCCTCCGTGTTCCCAAAAATGTTTAACAGCTTGCTACGACTCCAGCATAAGTAGCAGAAGACACCAATTTAATCGTGCCGATTACTGCCAAGTTGAATGTGTCATATTAATGTAAAATGTGTCATGCTTCTTAAACCTTGAGACACTGACAACTTTTGCAGGTTGGCGAAGTACCTGATTTTTAAAGTACTATATGACACAGCCGTAGTTCTTAATGTGAGAATCTGATCTGTACAGTTCTTCAGGAAATGAGGCACACATGAGTCAGAAGTCTTAAGTTCACCAACCTGTCTGTTACTTCAGACAAAGGTCAGATATTACAGTGCTATCCAGGGTAGCATCTTCTAAGTCAACTGAAATCCATGGACTTAGATGCTTAGGATGCTACTGTTAGGTCTATTATTCTGTATTAATTTTATATGCCAAGTTGGCTTACTGCCCAGTCAACTAGTGATAAACGGTAAACAAAAGAATTATTTTGAACTAAAATAGATCACGATTGGTCATACTAAACTGGGCTTTTTGCACATCTTCTACAGTTAATGTTTAAGCTTGCCTTAGTTTTCGCTGAAATCTTATTTAAAGGCTGTGTCTGCATCTTGTACAACTGCTACCACACTTGGCTTAGTATCAGTTCAAGCAGTTTAAGAAGGTTTGTGTATGTATCAATACAACCACCAGGCCACGCTTAATTTTTTTAATTTGCAAAACAATATTAGCGGGGATTCTGTCAAAGACAATGATTTGATACATTGAAGGACTGAGGCTGAGGTGAATTCCATAAAGTGCATTTAAGACAACGATTTTGTTCTCAAAAGATCCAGTTCAGAATGGCACACGAGTGTAAGATCGCTAATTAGCGGCTGTCAGTCCTCTTTAAAAGCTTAACGCTTCAAAAGAATCTTGGTTAAAGAGCAACCAATTCATACCTTTACTGTCAGTACTGCCTGATCAGGTGACCTACAGATTCTTGTGGGTGTCCACTTACACTAAGGGCTGGAAGAGCTCTTAACTAAGAATAAAAAGGCTATCCAAAAGCAATCTCTGTTTCAAAACCAAGTTAACTTTGTAGTAATGGCTGAGCTATTTCTCCGTGTTGATCCCGCAGGGCCGAGACCTGGCTACGGGTTAAATATTTTATGAACACTACAAGGAAACCAATGACAAGTACGCTGCCGAGAAAAACGCCAAAGAAACGGGCATAAGATTCCTGCCGACTTCTATCCTGTGGCTCTTTTGGGGCTGCGCTAACAAGGAGATCTTTCACGTTGTCAAGGGAACCATTGCTGGGCAGCGGCTCAAGACCCAACAGGTGGCACAACAGGGGATATAAGTCCGTGGAGTTCATCGCCTGCTTGCTGATGTTCTTTCTAAAGGCAGGTCCGTGGGCCAAGAAGATAGGATGCATGTCCGGTAGGGTGTTGTCATATCCATGGTTGCCCACTAGAAAAGGAAGGAAAGTTCACGATTACTGTTAACATCCACAGGTATTTACTTATGTGTCAAGAGAATGATTGACTCTTCAGATGTTGTTCTGGGGGAGGGGGAAGAACTGAGGCATGTGGCTTCAGTTACAGGATCAATAACAGTTACATAGCTGGAGTCATTACAGTTAGACACAGCATGCGGGGCTGGATGTGTTTGGGTACCTGGAATGATTAAGACAATTCACATAATCCAGGAATAAGGGGAAGTGGAGTGACGTGGAAATCCTACTTCTTTGGCATTGCTCTCACAAACACACACATCCACCCAACATCACTAACCACCAGCTTAATATACAGAAGCAAATCATCCAGCTGCATTATAAAAGACGATAAAACATATATAGAAATTCACTGATTTCTGAGCAGTGTGAACCTTGTTGCAGCAAAAGATTAACCTGCATGTTACCAGGGGTCATTTCCTGCAGGAGCGCACAGGAGCGGAGCTCCGGCAGTAAAGAGCCCAGGGGGCGGGCACATGCAAAAAGCCCCACCCCCTGCTCCCAGCAGCCCTCAGTCAGAGCAAGAAGCAGCCAGGTAAGTTGCAGAGCCCTCCCGGCCCCCCGGTCCAAAACAGTCCAGTGGCACCTTTAAGACCAAGGTTTATTCAGGCACAAGCTCTACTCTACGAGGACAGATCTGCACATTCCGCCCCCCCAATAGCTAGCAATCCAAAACAGTCCAGTGGAGCCTGAGCGGTGGGTGTTGCCTTCTGACACACTCCCGGTGATGTCAGGGGGTGTGGCATATGCAAATAAGTTATGCTAATGAGTTATGCTAATGAGCTCGTGCACCTCTTTTTCTACGAAACGATCCCTGCGTGTTACAATTCTGGCACGGCAACTGTGAGGGTGCTGCATTCCTCTATACCCACTAACATGACACACCTGTTATTAACACACAGCTCTCATAGCTGGACTCTTTTGCCTTGAGCCAGCGTGGCGTGGTGGTTGAAGTGTCAGATTAGGATCTGGGAAGCCCAAGTTCGAATCCCCACTCCCCCATGGGTGCTTGCTGGGTGACCCTTGGGCCTCTCACACACACTCAGCCTAACCTACCTCACAGGGTTGTTGTGATGACAGAGAACTATGGAAGCCATTTTGGGTCCCCACTGGGGAGACGGGCAGGGTATACATACCATAAATAAATTAAATGCCAACTGACAAGAGTGAATCCTGATATGTTATTACCAGAGCAGAATGGGGAACAACATTAGCACCCCTACTCAGGCTAATAACAGAAACAGCTCTAAAGCAATATCCTTATTTTTGAACCTTGTGCATTAAGTTTATATTTCTCCATATATATGATTAATAAATATCCTTGTGCAAAAGGAATAATACTTACGTTCAGTGTTCCCTCTAAGCTGGGTTAGTGTGAGCTAGCTCACAGTTTTTTAGCCTCCATCTCATATATTTTTGCCTTAGCTCAGGAAAGATGGCTCACAACTTTAAAGCCAGTAGCTCACGAAGTAGAATTTTTGCCCACAAGACTCCACAGCTTAGAGGGAGCATTGCTGATATGTCTCAACCAGTGTTCCCTCTAAGCTGGGTTAGTGTGAGCTAGCTCACAGGTTTTTTAGCCTCCGGCTCAAACATTTTTGCCTTAGCTCAGGAAGGATGGCTCCAGAGCAAACTAATTTATGGTGGAGCCAAATCACTTGCTCACAACTTTAATGCCAGCAGCTCACAAAGAAGAATTTTTGCTCACCAGACTCCACAGCTTAGAGGGCGCATTGGCCTCAACGGAAGGAGTATTTTGAAAACAGCTCTGGAGCCAAATCCACTCTTTGCCATCCTTTCTAGAGTACCACCCTGCACACAGCATGACGTAGGAGGCTGAGATCACCGCTAACCCCAAAGCCAACTAGCAAGGCTGACTGCACAAAAAAGAATTTCAGTTTCTCCCCCATATTTTCAGACACGACACTGGATCACACTGGCTCTTGTTAGCTCAGCATTATTTCCAACTGGACCTGGTCCATATGGTACGAAACGGTACTCACGGTTAAAGTGGTCAGATTTGTTCTGCAGGATTTCCCATCCTTCATCAGCCACCGCTAAGATTGGTTGGATTCTAGTGCTATGTCTGTAATGCAACCTACTTGGAATGTCCTCCTTTTTATAGACAGTCATATGGGGATGAGCTTTGACCAAAGCGTTGTATACCTCATCAAGTTTGCCTTCAGATAAATAAAAAAAGGTAAGGGTTTAATTTCCAGATCCTGACAAGTTTCTCCCTCTACATGATGCTACAGATCTCTCAAGAAAGAAATTAACAGTTTCAACTTGCTTTCGCCTTCTAACCCAGGGGTGTCGAACTCATTTGTTATGAGGGCTGGATCTGACATAAATGAGACCTTGTTGGGCCGGGCCATGTGTGTGATAAAATGTAATGCCAGGTATTTTCAGATTACAGGAAAACCAATATGGCAGACTTCAATACACTGCCTTTAACTGAAAAACAAGTTTAAAAAGAATCTCGTCTTCTAATCTTGAACAAGCTGGCAGACCCTGCGATCCTCACATCTTTAAATGTAAATGAATGTCAATGCCAAGTTCTCCCTTCTAACGCAATCCCAAATATATCCACTGTTCAGGTGTGTATCTGTAAGCTGCAAACCTACGATGACGCATCAGCGGCAGAACTGGAAGAAGCAGCAGAAGACAGCCAGTTCCACTGCGGGCCTGATAGAAGCCCTCCGGGGGCCTGATCCGGCCCCCATGTTTGACACCCTGCTCTAACCTATATGTATGGCCTGGAAACATCCATTTCAATGTATCTGAAGAAGTATGTGTGCACACGAAAGCTTATACCTTGAATAAAACTTTGGTGGTTTTAAAGGTGCTGCTGGACTCAAACTTTGTTCTGTTGTGGTTCAGCATAACTTCATAACGGAAGTAATAAATTGAGAAGTCTTTGCTTAGAATCACGTTATATTGCTTCCAAGTTAGGTATGTGGGTTGGACAATATGCCCCCCCCCCCCCGCCTAAGAAGGAACCATGGAGACTTTTGACCACTCTGTACCTTGCCTAATTTTGTCTGCGATCCCTTGTCAAAGTGCAGATATTCAGAGGCAGTGGGAGCGAAGTACCTTGACTTTGAATAGGATTGCATCCATACACGGTGCTTTTCAGCTGCCAAGTAAAATGCCACAACCAAGGGCATGGCATGGCGTGGCTACTTACCACAATTTGGGCTTTAACAGACCCACACAATGTTTTATGTGCGTGCTGTGCACAGGACTCAGCGCAGCTCTTGAGTGTGGTTATAGCTTCCCTCCAGCCGATTTAATGCTAGTACATAAACACTGCGCATGGGAGGACGGGCACATGGACTGGGACCCTCTGATCGTGGGATCCTGGGCCACAAAGTATCTTCCTGCACAGCGTTCCATACGTTCAGCATCTTATGAAAAGTGAGGGTCAGTCATGCAATTTGCAGGTGGTAAGAGAGTAGCCGTGTAGCTGTGCGGTAGCAGCCCACCTCACAACTGCTGCCTAGTTGGGACCAGTGCTCCCTCTAAACTGAGTCAGTGTGAGCTAGCTCACAGTTTTTGAGCCTCCAGCTCACACATTTTTGTCTCAGCTCAGGAAGGGATGGCTCCAGCGCAAACTAGTTTATGCAGGAGCCAAATCGCTCGCTCACCACTTTAATGCCAGCGGCTCACAAAGTAGAATTTTTGCTCACCAGATTCCACAGCTTAGAGGGAACTTTGGTTGGGACCGTTCGGATATTCTGGATCTTCGACGTGGTCTCTGTGCTTCACACCCATGGGATCTAGTGCGCACGCGCTGGATCGATCGGTGCTGTAGCAAGCTCTTTTCAACGGATTTTCACGCCCGGTCCCTCCAGGCATGCACAGGAACCCACTGTGGATGCCCAGAGGGGTGGGCGCGGACATCCCGCCAGTTCCTTTCTTACCGCTGCGTTGGAAAGACCCCACAGCAAATAGGACCACAAGCACCGAGACTCAGCTAGATCATGGGCTTTCTCAGTGATAGGCTATCCAGTCGCCTGAATGGCCTATATCACAGTGAGTTCATAGTGCAACGGTACTGCCTGCGAGACAGGGCTTTTGATGGAGGGTAAACTGCCAAGGAGCCCTAACCTGGACAGCCCAGGCCAGCCTGATCTTATCGGATCCCGGATGTTAAGCAGGGTCAGCCATGGTTAACTGTGCGGACTCTAATCTGGGAGAGCCGGGTTTGATTCCCCACTCCTCCACTTGCAGCTGCTGGATGACCTTGGGCAAGCCATAGTTCTGTCAGAGCTGTCCTTGAAAAAGAGCAGTTTCTGTCGAGAGCTGTCTCAGCCCCACCTACCTCACAGGGTGTCTGTGGTGCGGAGGGGAAGGGAAAGGAGATTGTCAGCCGCTCTGACACTCCCTTGGGAGTGAAGGGCGGGGTATAAATCCAATCTCTTCTTCGTCTTAGTACTTGGATCAGAGACTACCAAGGAAGTCCAGGGCCCCTCTACGCAGAGGCAGGCCATGACCAACCACCTCTGAACATCTCTGACCTTGAAAAGCCGACAGGGTTGCCCTAAGTCAGTTATGAATTGATGGCCAAAAAAGCCAAAAACTGCTTAGGCAGATTTGGCTGTGGTTTTAAACTTTTTTTTTTTAATATATGCATTTGTTTCAACTTTTGTTTTTACCTTAATAACTAGTGTAAGTTCTTCTGTGTTCATGTACCTGGCTGCTATATTGTTACCTGTCTCGGATCCAGAGAGAGAGAGCGGGATATGAATTTTTAAAAATAAACCCATTGGGAAAATCTTGAAGGATACCCGGCACACACAAGAACTGCCCTTGGTTCTTTCTAGTTAAAGGCAGTGTATTGAAGTCTGCCATATTGTTTTTCCTGTAATCTGAAAAACAAGTTTAAAAAGAATCTCGTCTAATCTTGAACAAGCTGGCAGACCCTCCAATCCTCATATCTTTAAATGTAAATGAATGTCGATGCCAAGTTCTCCCTTCTAATATATAATTTCCTACCTTCTGCTGGCAAAATCGCTACATCAGGCGAATGGTCAATCATCATATACAAGTCTCTGTCCACATACTGGTCGAGCTCTATGATCCGGTCTCTGGATGACTGGGCCATTCCGTGGTCGCTTGTGATGATGACATTCAAAGTGTCCCACAATTCTGCTCTCTTCAGTTCCCGCACAAGATGGCTCAGCAGATTGTCAATCTCCATAATGACCAACTCCATACCAGGATCATCTGGACCCAAAATATGTCCCATCTCATCTGGCTGCTCCCAGTACAGGAGTCCGAGATTTATAGGCTCTTCGGACGTAAACCACTCGATAAGCTTGGCAACACGCTCTTGAAATGAAACGGATTCATTGTAAAGCAAGTAGTGTGTGGGAAAGGCCCCGTGTATCTTGACATCGGTTCCCGGCCACATCGCAGCGCCACTTCTATGTCCCTGAATCTGGTTAGTGATCCAGACTGGATAAGCGTGTTCCCAAAACTTTGGATTATACATGGTCATGTGGTTCATGGAGAAAGTTTCGTTCAAAACTGGATCGTACATCTCATTGGCGACTATACCGTGGTCCTCCGCGTAGAGGCCTGTCACCATTGTGTAGTGGTTAGGATATGTCTTGGTAATGAACACGTTTGTGACCTGTTCGACATGAACACCATCCTTCATGACCTCATCGAAATTGGGAGTTCGGAATTTATAGATATAATCCCATCTGAAGCCGTCAAATGATACAAGTAATACCCTCTGTTGTTTTGGCAAGAAACTCTGAGTCCTTGGGAAAATCAGTGCACAGACGGCCAGGAATCTGCAATAGCCGGTCAAAATCATCCCTGCAGATAGTTTTGATCCACACACTTAGGTTCTTGTGAGCAAAAATTCTACCTTGTGAGCTACTGGCATTAAAGTTGTGAGCGAGTGATTTGGCTGCTGCATAACTTAGTTTGCTCTGCAGTCATCCCTCCTGAGCTAAGACAAAAATCTGTGAGCTGGAGGCTAAAAAAGTGTGAGCTAGTTCACACTAACTCAGAGGGAACACTGCCTGTGAGGTAGGTGGGGCTGAGAGAGCTCTTTTGAGAACTGCTGCTGAGAGAACAGCTCTGAGTGTCAGCAAGCTGCCAATGTTTATTTTCATTTCCTGTGTGTGTGTGTGCACTTGCTTTTATTTTCGTAGACCCGTAGATGCGCATGGCTATGTAGCTCGCCGTAACAAATATATCTCCTCAAGGCCACAGGTGGAAGCAAGCTCGTTACCGCTGGAAAGCTCTCATGAATCACCGTGAGAAGAAGATAACATGAGAGGTTAGGAACCGTTAGTTCTCATGCCCAAAGGCGCAAGTGGGAAAGCCCCGCAAGCGCGCGGGAAGTCCCGCAATTGGGTAGTAGTGGTTTGAATGTTTGATTATATGTCTTGCCCTTGCTTGTGTTCTCCATTCTGAACAGTGACCCTGTTATACACCTTCCGCTCTAATAAACTTACCTTTTCTTCAAAAGCGTGCTTATTATGATGCAAGGAGTCTGACACTGAGAGAACTTGTGACTGACCCAAGGTCACACCAGCAGCTGCATGTGGAGGAATGGGGAATCAAACCCAGTTCTCCCAGATTACAGTCCGCGTTCCTAACCCCTACACCAAACTGGCTCTCTTCATATATACCCTGCCTTTTCCTACAGAGGGAACCCAAAGTGGCTTACATTGTTCTCTGCTCCTTGGCATCCTCCCAACATCTCTTTGAGACAGGATAGGCTGTGTGTATGAAATACTGATGGTAATGATTTGAAACCAAGTTCATATTACAGATGTAATTACAAAATCTGGATTTGGAAGAGCAAGACTGTCGGGAGCACGCGGCTTGGCTTGCTTGCCAGAGTAACCCACAGGAACTATTCTGCAAATATTTCACTGCAGGGCACACGGTTCTTGGCCTGTGGCAGGAATATCAATCAACCTTCCACATTTCTGTGCAATACAAACTCCAGGTGCCACAAACCCAAAGCTGGTGCACCACAGTAAGGTACCTAAGAGCTAACGACTCCAGAGCCTTACTGCACATCATGCAAAACTTGCAGAACTTAAGACTATTCAGGTGAGCAAACTGCACAAGAAGCAACAAACAAACAACATTACCGGTGTGTCTTAAGTGATATGATCTTCATGCCTGCTACAGGGAAAGCTAAGCACCTAATGGCCAATGGATCTCTGGCTAATAATCACACAGAGGCATGAGCAAAACCTGTCTGACAATCCCTCCCAAGGAAGATTTTACTGCAGTAAACCCCCACTCCACCCAACGTCTCTTCAGAAAGGTAATAAACCCACTTGCAGAATCTGTTCTCATCAGATAGATTCAGGTGGGTGGCCGTGTTTGGCCTGCAGCAACAGAACAAAGCTGGAGTCCAGTGGCGCCTCTAAGACCAACAACGTTTAATTCTGGATCTTGAAGGTGCCACTTTTGTTCTCATCAGAGTTCACCGTACTCCAAAGCACCAATTCAGAGCGGATCTCTAACCCAGGACTTGGACGTGTTTCAAAGCCTGAGGACATCAAGAGGTTATGATTGGCTGCTTCTTCATGAGCCCAATTCCCACTCGCCTATTCATGCTGTGCATGTTCCTTCCACAGCAAAAATGGGCAGCAGCTAGATATTGTGACTGATTCTGGACAGAATAACAGCCACAGTAGCGCCCCCCCCCCCATCTCTAATCAATTGACTCCACAGAGATGTCAGGCTGACCAGCGCAGGAATGAGATGCAAGAAATGCTTCTCAGCTGGTGAGTGTTCTCTTTTCCTGTAGCACCTGTTCAAGAGAAGGGTGTACCCGGGCCCATAGCTACAGTGGGGCATCTCTGGGCTGGGCCCCCCGACTTACCACCCAGGCCTCCCGACTCCCCATCCAGCTGGTTGGGAATCATTTTACTTTTTGTGTGCACCATAGCCTCGCAGTGCCGATCCATCACCCTGCCCTGCCTGCCGGCACCCTTGCCTGTCTCTCTTGTCGCTTTTTAAAAACCTTTACTCTCGTTGCTCCTGACACAGCCTGGGTCTGTGTGCAGGGGTGCCCCCCTGACTTATTTAAATGCCCCCTGAAGTCAAAAATCCTGGCTATGACCCTGCTGTGAAAGGGCTGAGGACAGGTAGGGGAGGCTGGAAGGTTACAAAACGGAGCAGAACATCTTTGTTAGGCTCACAGAGGGGTTTCAACACATGTGGAGTCCACAAGGACAGGTCTAATGCACACATACGCAGTACAGCTAGGGAGAGGGATTCACCTCCCTTGGAAGTCATTGGCTTACTGGCTACATGAAGAAGAAGAAGAAGAGATTGGATTTGTACCCCGCCCTTCACTTGGAGTCTCAGAGCGGCTTACAAACTCCTTTCCCTTCCCCTCCCCACAACAGACACCCTGTGAGGTGGGTGGGGCTGAGAGAACTCTGACACAAACTGCTCTTTTTCAAGGACAGCTGTGCCAGAGCTTGTGACTGACCCAAGGTCACATCAGCAAGTGCAAGTGGAGGAGTGGGGAATCAAACCTGGTTCTCCCAGATTAGAGTCCGCACACTTAACCACGACACCAAACTGGCTCTCATAGGTCACGGACCCGCAAGCTCGAAAGTGAGAGGCACAGACCTCTGGGAAGCCCCAGTCAGGTGACAGAACTTATTAAACTCAACATCCCCAGGCCCTTACTGCAGATCACTCAAAACCCAAAAGGTTACTGGAGCAAGCAAGGCAAGCTGGAAGAGAAAAGCACCCAACAAGCAAAAGTGTCCAGTGTCATCTGACCTCTGTACAGCAGCAGTTCCCCTTACGTTCCATAGAGGAGGGGGGGAAACCACCAGCATGACACTGTGACAGATGGTGGGTGGGGAAACAGACAGAATAACTCTCTCTCTCTCTCTCTCTCACACACACACACACACACACACACACAACCTCTTTAAACGACACAGTATTTGTTATTTACAAAACTTCGATCTTGCCTTTCTGCCCTCATCAGGGCAACCAAGCCAGCTCACAGATTAAACACACAAACACACACACACACAAAATGCTCGTAGTAAACACCATTACGACCAAACAATCATCCCAAGAAATAACACCGAGTAGAAATACGGTGGGGGTGGAAAGTGCCATCAAGTCACAGAAGACTTATGATGACTCTGGAGGGTTTTCAAGGCAAGAGGCTAACAGAGGTGGTTTGCCATTGCCTGCCTCTGTAGAGCAGCCCTGGGCTTCCTTGGTGGTCTCCCATCTGAGGACTAACCAGGGCCAACCCTGCTTAGCAGGAGAGATCGTACCAGATTGGGCTAGCCTGGGCCATCCAGGTCAGGGCCACCAAAGCAGCAGACAGATTAAAACACACACACAATAAAGGGGGGGGGAGGCTTAACCACCATTAGAACCAAACCTTTTAAAGCCAAGTTAAAATACACATACTATAAATGAAACAAACATACATAGAAATGACATTTAGGTAACAGCTTTCCAAGAGACGGCAGGGGAACTACAAAGAGACAGGAAAGTAATGTCCCTAATGAGTCTGCAGAAAAGAGCAAGAGTCCAGGAGCACCTTAAAGATTGACAAAATTTGTGGCAGGGGAGGAGTTTTCGTGAGTCATTGCTCACTTCTTCAGCTACAGCTAGAATGCGAGTCCGTCTGTCCTTATATCTTGGAGAGGAGAGTGATTTCAGATGCCAAATGACAAGTCAGATGAATGACAGATGAACTCACATTCTAGAAGTATTTGAAGAAGTGGGCAGTAAGTGACTCACAAAAGCTCCTACCCTGCCACAGCTTTTGTCAATCTTGAAGCTGCTCTTGGACTCTTGCTCTTTTCTGCTGCTAAAGGTAAAGGTTCCCTTGCTCGAAAGCCAGTCGAATCCGACTCTAGGGTTGCGGTGCTCATCTCCGTTTCAAAGCTGAAGAGACAGTGCTGTCCGAAGATGTTTCCGTGGTCATGTGGCCGGCATGACTAAACACCAAGGTGCACGGAATGCTGTTAGCTTCCCGCTGAAGTGGTACCTATTTATCTACTTGCAATTTCTTGCTTTAGAACTGCTAGGTTGGCAGGAGCTGGAACTAGAGATGGGAGCTCATTCCATCATGCGGCACCCGGGTCTCGAACTACAGACAGACTAACACGGCTACCCATCTCGATCTATCACATTCAAGATGTATCTGAAGAAGTGAGCAGTGCCTCAGGAAAGCTCCCTCCCTCCCAGATTTTGTTTGTCTTTAAGGCACTATAGGACACTTGCTCTTTTCTGCTGCTACAGAAAGACTAAACACAGCTACCCATCTTGATCTATCTCATTCTAGCTGTCTCTGAAGAAGTGAGCTGTGACTCACCAGAGCTCCCACCCTGCCACAAATGTTGTTCATCTTTAAGGTGTGCCTGGACTCTCGCTCTTTTCTACTACTAC